TTTGAACTGCCTATTCCTGATTTAAACCATCTGCAGGCTCGACTTATAGACAAGATTCGTGAAATTAACAATACCCCGAGCATCTTAGAAAATGTCTTTAATTCTTTGAGGAACAGGTGTGAAAAGTGCTTGGAACAAGGAGGGGGACACTTTCAGCAGCTGCTTTAATTTATTGTTATAACAAGGAGGGGGACACTTTCCGCAGCTCCTTTAATTGTTTGTTATTGTTATCACGATTATTCTTTAAAATAAAGTTATATAGTCATTAACGTTATTGAAACTGATAGCTGCTATACAGCTCGTTGAGAAATGAGGTTAAGTTGGTCGCTATAAGCTACTCCCTACGTCCAATGTGTCAGAAACAACTTCGACCACGTTTTTATTTGAACGCTCGTTATAAGAATTTCAGATGCTGCGTGTTAATAATGAACCGTCGCAATAACAATCGGAATCGTATTTTTCGTAGGATTTACACTATGGGGATGCTGAAAAGTGAATGAGGTTTTGCCAGTGGCTTTTAAACTCGACGGAAGAAAATCCTGACTTTTTGCACAAAATTCTGTGGACGGATGAATCCTCATTTCAACTTTATTTCAAACAGATTTAATTTTGTAATTATTTTGGCCGTTATGCAGATGTCCAGTCCATGAATTTATTTAAAAATATACAAATTTTTTCAAACCTTTGAGTAATATTAAATTTATCTATATGGTTTGCTGATGACGGTGCTCTAAATTGTCGTTGGATTTACTAATTGTGCATTTTACGAGAAAAGCCCAAATACAACAATATTTTTGGTTGGATTTTGTTCTATTCAAATATGAGAAAGATTTTTCCTCAGGAATAAATAAACAAAGCTAGTTATAACACTAAAACAAGATCATCGTAAAGATTACTAACTGATAACGCAGACAAAAGAAATAATTTTTGCAGATGGGTTTTAAACAAATATGAGTATGTGGCCTAAATTAGCGCATTATGGTCGACAAATGAGTAATTTATATCCTAAGCGGCTGCTACTATAAAACACCAAGAAACACTGTTCGTTCAATTAACGTAACAGTACCTGAATGTAACATTATTTCTATAAAAAACTGCCAGTGGCGCATTTGTTCTTGGGACAACGGAGCGGCACCTGATTAATGCTACGAGGTTAATATTACATTCAATAAAAGGTCTAATTAAATGAATACGCTGTAGTAGTCATTCAAGTCGTTCAACGCAATATGAAGATGTGACAGGAAATATAATTTTTTTGGAAACTTGAACATACTGTATCTCGAATACATCATGCCCCAGGAAAAAGTTTATAGAGAAAACTTTACTTATTTTTTGGCAATGAATCTAGTCCTGCAGTTTTTGTATTTAAAGTGAAATCACCCTGTATATTTGTATAGTCCGGAAGCAAATGCACCATGCCTTAAGGGTAGCTTCCTTGAGTAAATGTAAACCGATTTAGATCAAGTTATTGTACGTCAGTACAATTTTGCTTCCTAAAAAAGTTATTGGCCTTCAAAAACAATTTTTTATTTTATATAAATTCCGTCACCTTTAAAACATTCAATGGTCTGGAGGAGTTTTTGGGTAGACAAATATGAGCTCAAGCATAGAGCGGCTAGAGATTACATTAAATATTTACTTATTTTTGCCATATTTTTTTTATCTCTAGGAATTATGAGAATGTGGAGATATTTTATGTAATATCATTTTATTTACTATAAAAAAAAGTATATTGCTGCTTTTCGAAAAAATGTACTGTTCCAAGGAAAAGAATATTTTAAGCCTTTACTAGTTATCAGTCAGGGACAGTCAAGTATTTGGGAGTATTTTATTTATTTTTTTTTTGCTAAACTTGCAGGTAAATTAAATATTTTTACCGATTTACAATTAGACCAACCTATCTCTGTTTACTAAGATATAGAATTATGATTGTAGCAAACCAAAATTAGACTAGAATACTCCCAAACATTCGGCTGTCAGTAAGTGATGACTTTTGTAATCAATTTTTCTCTGATACGGTACATTTTAGCAATATGCAAGAAGCATAGCAAGTTAATAAAGTGGCGTGTCAGGACATCTACATTTTTTGCGACAAACAGACTGTTTTAGGTATTTTTAGTAGGTATAAGCTCATATTCATATTTGACTATTTGACGAACTCAAACAAATTTAAAAAAATCAGTTTAAAAGTGACGGTTATTTTAAAAATATATATATAAAAAAATTTGCTAGAAGGTTCCTAACTTTTTATTGACGAGAATTTGCTAGATTTAAATCGATTTATTTTCACCCTTGTAGTATGGCTCATATGATAGTTTTTTCTAATAATTTTTCTAATAAGTATATCAAATAATAAGAATGCCTAAAAACTGAGAAGATAAATTTACTCTTAATGGGTATAATCTCTGTAAAAATTGAAAAATTCGGATTAAAATAAAAACGTTGAAGATTACGCAAGAGTATACTCTGTAAACTAGTATACAGATACCTTAAGCCCAAGATGAAAATGTGAATAAAATTCGATAAATGAATTTCAAAGATATGTCTAGAGTCCTCATAAATGTTTACAAGACACGTGACCTCTGAATTTAGGCAACGAACATTACAGGGCTGGTACTGGTAACGAAAAATCCCTAAATCTTGGCGTTACTAATATTAATGATTCGTTTACATTGAACAATGACAATCAGTTATGTCTATGCTCGAAATAATGCGATCACTGATTGGTTGAATGGAATCTCGTGAAATATTGCACCAATAACTAGCGAGTGAAATAAAATATTGTGTTTTAATGTAATGTTGATCTTATTTTTTTAATAATTTTTAATTTCACCGAAATTTTTAATTGGCAACATGAAATTACTGTTTCAAACAAAATTATTGGTTACGTGACTTGTAATCAATTATGAAGGCTCTGTATACATATATCTTGTTTCGAAAAAAGTGTAAATTAGAAGGAATTTTTTTTTGATATCCTTTGATATCCCACCATTTCACATTTCGTTAAAAAAAAACAATAGTAGGGTTAATGTTGTCCCATATTTTACATAAAATAGAATACTAAGTAGGTATCTACTTCAATTTATTTAAAATTATTCAATAGTCTGCCATAATGCACCAAGCGGGTCATGATATATAATAGGCTGTTATAAAATTTTAAAAGACATTTGCTTTGGTGAGGGTGTCGAGGCAGAAGCAGAAATTTTGATACACCATATGCTTGATAAGCGTGACACACACCATACGTTAAATTTTATAGAGAATCGAAACTAATGTAACGAAATTTGAAAAAATACAAGTATATATTTTAGTAATCAAGTATAAATTTTCTTGGTAATACCGCGAATCAATTAGGATATTGACATATGAACAACAATAAACCACCAGGTCTTGAACAAAAAACTGGCAGTCAAATGGAGAAAATACTATTTTAAAATAAGAATTATTGCTCAAGAATACTTAACTATTTTCTAAAAAGTTTATAAATTTATAAGGTAATGTCAATGAAATTTTGTGCTCAATATATTAAATACCTTAATTTGTCATCAAAATTCAAATCAATCAAATTTTTATTTTAAAAGTACGCATTTTTTTTATTTAACAGTCAACCCGTGCCTAAGGCCCATATAATTTCTAGAAATAATTAACATCGATTTTTTCAAATTTATTTCAAGAAAATGAAAACCGTTTGACGTTTTATAATTAAATATGGTAGGTACAGGTGCATTCGCAGGTGTTCTGACTGGCATACTTAAATTTTCAATAAACCAATTGTTAATATGGTTTGTGAAGTTTTGTTTTGAAAATAAAGAAGTATAAAAACAAAAAAGAAAAAAATAACTACTTATTTTCTAAGGAAAAGTGTAATCAAGTGGTTAGTTACGATTGGGATTAAGATAACAGTGCGATTTTTGAAGATTTGAAGTGTGATTTTGCTATCTAAATGAAAAATTAGAGTTGTAAAATAAAATAGATAAGATCTAACTGCTATACTCTGTTAGTATGTTACGATATCACAATGAACTGTGCAGACCTGGTAGAGATATTTTAAGTAGAGAAATATTATAATTCTTTGTCTGGGTATACTCGTATAAGAGAGCAAATATGTCGAAATTTGAAGACCTCAGAACTCAGCTCTTAATGCTATACTTAACAAATTTTTTAGGTATCACAATTTAATGAAAAGATTATAAGGTGGTTCTATAGAAAATCGTCAGTAATGAACTAACCTGGTTTTCTTTTTCTTGACTCCATTATTATCATTTTTCTTTTTCTCGTTCTTCTTAGTAGTCGTGGTGGGGGCGTTACCAATTTCCGTCGAACTTAAATTCTGCGACTGAAGCAGTACGACATCTTCGTTTTTCCTCTTCACACCATTAGAATTGTTGTTGACATTCTCCATTCCTTGTTGGAACATGCTCAGATCCTGATGGTGCATGGGACTCATAGGTGAATTATCCAGTTTCTGAGGGGATCCCTTATATTCCAAGGGAGATCCCATATTCCCGAACATGTCATGTTGGTGTTGCAGCCCTAACATCACTTGGATAGAGTGCACGTTCAGATTTTCTTGATTTTTATTCAATAAAGTCGATGCCAGGGACGGCAGCGGTTGATTGTTATAATCGTTAAAACTTTGATCGTCGAATGGAGCACCTTCCATTTTAATTAACACAAACAATCAGTGTAATCTATTTCAATTTACCAATTTGCCCAACTAACTTTTTTAATCAAACAATTGAGACGAGCTGTTTCAGTTAAACTGACTTCTGACATTATTATTTTAGTCAATTTATATTTAACGAGCTGAATTAAGGACTCGGTTTCCAACCAATACCAGTCGGATGTCCTGGACCTACGTCCACCGCTATTGGTTCTATTTATAGAGGCAGTCCCGTACGACCAATAGAGTCGAGGGATGCTGGATAGTGCCTCCAGTGTTGTGTGAAACAGACGTAAATTTGAGAGCCCAACAGGTCCTATTGTGGTGTTACACACTGAAAGATCGATATTATGATGGTGGTCACGTGGATGCGAATATGTGGGTTTGTGTTAATTGCCCTTTTTCTTGTGGGAAAGCAAACTGAATCGATTTTGAAAACGATAGCGTAAAGAAATCGTATTGTCCGTTATTTGTTGAAGTGGTAGCCCTCACATAATTTTTCCCTTTACGAATTATATTTCCGTTAAACATAGATAATCAAAATAAGGTCTTAGTGCAATATTATTTAAATGTTTTGCATAAGTGTATAAAGATCGCTCAAAATGTCGTACGAAGTTAAACAATTAACTAAGAAAATATTCATGTCTAACAATCCAGACCACAGAAGATTTTGCTAAAGCAACATTATTATACTATTATCATTATTGTATTTAAGAAAATATAGGTATGCAATAATTTTATTTTTTTAAAGACGATGTTCTATAAACCCCAGAGGTAAAAGCGTGTACCTATTTGTTAAAGTAAACTGTAATTTTGATCTAAGTGCATGAAAGAAACCACATGTACTGAGTATAAATCGATTCATAGAGAATTTATCTAGTACACCGATTGACTTCTTATCTTCCCTATATATAAAAAAGTTATTTAGAGAAAACATTTGCTTTAGTAATTTCTTAATAGCCATTGAAAGCAAAAATGCCGTTGTCTGCTAGAAAATTAATCTTTCTGATAAATTTTTATATAAAATTCAGTGATTTTTCTACTTTCCAGGCATTCATGAAATAAATTTGTATTTAAAATGTAATTTTGAACGAAAATATAAGGTGCCTCATTTAAATTTCAAAAATTGCGACCACCGGAAGTGAAAAATTGTTTGGTTATGAAACTATCTAGTTCATTTGTTGCCTATTTTACTCATATCAACTATGGTGTCGTTAGCACTAATCAAAAACGGGTTATTACTATAACATATGACCTTATTGCTTGGGACACCTGGTATACAACATTAACCTTCATTATTATGGGCTATTATGTCAAATAAATGTTTGTTGATTTAAAAAATAAGACCAGTAAACAAAGGTACTTGTATAATAAAACCACTCACAAATTTTTAAAAATATAGCACTTTCAATATACATATACCTGAAAAGTGATATTTGTTTCCATACAAAAAGTTTCGGATCAACGTCTTTATCCAGCCTCAGGCTAGCCTTACCATGGAGCAAGAGTATTAGCGTCATTGCAAACACTGATTGATGTTCAATATTAATTTAAATAATGACGTAATTTTTCTAACACTGACGGAATAATGCACACTTGAGGACCTTTTAGATTGGGAACTTAACGATATTCCATTGTCGTCAATTGTTAAATTAATATTTTTGTATGAGCCGATCACGTTGCACCACTTAAATAGAAATCCTATATCCAGCGAATTCAGCAATAATAATAACTGTATTATACCACCGCAGTACTACCGCACAGAGAGCTACGTTACACCCCTTGCGAACGTATATACATAACTGAAGGAATTAAAGAATTAAGAGTTATAATATGTCAATTAAACCATTCATAAACAATAACTTGATGAAGTTAACGAATCTAAACCGTTAAGCGCACGCATTTGCCTCAATAACCCATAAGTGAATTTATCAATTTACCCAATTTTTCCCTATTAGCGACAATGACTATTAGTGCAGCTATTAGTATATTAGTTTAACAGACCAGATTCTTTAATGCAATTCAACTCAATATTGTCCAATTGTTGCTATTAAAACATTTTACACAGTTAATGTACACCAGTCAAATAAAGTCCTCTAGTGAAGAGGGTTGTGCACCTACTATTGTTTTTCTTTGAGATTGGAAAAATGAAACACCATAATTTGCGTTTTAATTCCAGTTTTTTAGTGGAAAAGATGTGGGAAACGTATTGTACATGTGGCTGTGATAGTGGCGAATGAGTGAATATTTGGCGTCTTGGTGCTTGCAAAAAAATGAACAGTGATTGTGGTGACGTACGTATATCTATTAACTACTGTTCTGTTTGCAGTTTTGTTTGAATAATAAAGCAGTATTCTAGGCCAGCCTTCTATTAAAATAACCTTGAAGACAATGATTTAACAATTATTCGCCTGTGAGTTGTAGAATCTCTGGAATTTATTGTCTGCAGCAGATCAAAGGGAATAGAATGAACAGCTCTTAATTAATAGGTAGGTATATATTTTTTAAAATTAGAAAATAATTTCTCAAGTGATCGTGATGAAACAGAATAGAGATAGTTTTAGAATATTTCAATGTATCAATTTTCTTTTTCTTTTTGGGTCTTTGATTTGACTATACTATGAACCTAAAAAACAATTATAAAAATCTCTTGTACAACAAGGTCCAGCAAAATTCTCGTTCTAAGGAACTTATTCATTGCCTACAATGAAATTGCACAAAAATATGGATATAAATAGCATCATATAAACCTAGCATTAGCACTATGTACGGTGATAGTCAGGCAACATTCTGTCTCATCACATTACTTTAATATTTGATATTGACCGAAGTTGTAAGAAACTTTCTTTCGATTTCAAAATAGTACTACATTTATTACATGTTGAATTTTAGAGATGTAAACCAAACATATGATTTTTTTCCATATTTGTATACAGTATGTCCGGGGTAGGGTGAATAAGAGGAATAACTTTTTTACTTTACATTTTACGGAAAAAATGCACACTTGATAAAAAATTTTGCTTGAATTTAAAATGAGGTTGCCATGGTGAACCTTAACATTTCATGTGCGAGGTGTCCAGAAAATATTTTTTATATTTCTGAAAAGTGTCACTAGGAAAAGTTGTTCCAAATTAAAAGATACGACATAATTCTAATTTGTGGAGAACTTAATCTACTTTAATTATTTACAAAAATTTACGCCTGCAGTTAAAAAAACTTTTTTATTTCAAATAAAAAGTTGTGAATAAAATGACATTTTATTCTTCATTTGTGTCACTACACTTCGTTAAAAACCGACAACAATAATTAATTATCGGATAAATGCTAACTTTACAGCAAAAATATATCTAATACAGTGCTACGGTAAGGGTGATAATAGTTATCGCCAAGTAATTCAAGATTCCAATGAAAAATATTCAGATGTGCATGTGGCACAGTCGTCTTTACATAAAGCAGTTCAAAAATTTTTGAGAATCGGGCCACTGGCGGAAACACCAAAGCAAAAGAAAAACTATGATGATGAGGATGCCGCTACTGTGCTAGTTCTACAGTCAGTGAATGAATATCCAACCATGTTAGGAAGGAAGTATGTCACCACTTTCCCCTCGAGAGAACAGTGGAAGCAGGTTGGTGATATGTTCCCCCCGGGATCCCTAGTATGCTATACTGATGGATCTCAGGTAGAAGACGAGTTTTCAGGAGCAGAAATTTATCTGGAAAGCAGCGGCATTCAGGAAAGCTTTTCACTGGATATGTATGCTACAGTGTTCCAGGCCGAGGTTTTTGCTATTTTGATTGTAGCAAGCAAGGAGGAGGTAAGGAATTGTGTAGAGGAGAAGATTTTTATCTGCTCCGACAGTCGGTTAGCTCCCCGAGGACTAGGTCTGCCCTTGGCCAGGAATGTGGAGACGCTCTAGAGCAGGGGTCGCAAGTAATTTAAGGTGGGGTCCGGATATTTTTGAATTTTTTTAACGAGGTCCAGAAAAAAATTCATATTTCTTACTAATTTTTTATTTTCATTTGCACTCAAATTTAATCTTAATGGGCCTATCAAACTTTAGGTCAGCATTGGAGGAGAAATAGAGGATGTAGGCAGACCCATAGTTTTATACATGAATCTAACAAACCCAAGACGAGATGGCTACTGAGCCTTAGTCGAAGAGCCCTAAACCAAGTGGTGGGGGTTCTGACAGGTCACTGCAGACTTAGGAGGCATTTAAGTTTAATAGGAATTGAGGAGGACCCTCTATGCCCGAAATATGGAGAAGGGGAGGACACCCCTGTCCACCTTCTGGGACATTGTGCAGCCTTTGGGAGAATAAGAAATAAAGTCTTTGGTGCTGCAAAGGGTTGAGGTGAGAGACCTTCCATGGACCAAAATCCTAGCGTTCATTAGGGCGTCGGGTAGGTTCGAGAAGGGTCAGAGGCAGAGAGTGGATAGGTGATGGGACGGAAGGATAGGCAAAAAGGGCCCACGTGTGGCCTAATTGCCAGGCTGAGGCCGCCTCTTTTCACTGCTACTACTACATATCCAACCATGTCACTGAGGAGACGCTCAGAATACTGAAAAAGACCCACATACAGAAAATTTTGAAACAAAATAAAATTCTGGGATACAAACCAATTCACAACCACACTTTAGAGGAAGGGGATGAAGCGAAACGTCTCGATTGTTGTCTGTGGATCGGAGGTATGGAACTGAATTTCCATCAACAGATTACGTTTTCTTACGAATCCACTTTTTCTACAAATGGCATTGTTGCTTCACAACGTTTGCGATAGTGGAGTACAGAGAATCCTCATTTTAGGATACCATCTAAAAAACACACAGAAATGAGACAACCCCCCAATTCCAAAGCCAAAGGCTGTGCGGAAGGGGGCTACACTTGAAAAAATGCGGATAAACACCCATTATCCATCGACATTGCCAGTGCCGACGCCAGGGATCGAACTCGGACCAGAATAGGAAGCCTGGCCGAGAAATGCTTGCCACTGCACTCTCGACCGATTACACTACAGTGGCTTAGGCGGCAATATTTCGAAAAAGTAAATGTTTGGTGTGCTGTATCCTTTTATGGA